ACTTTTTTTTTCCAATGACCTTTCATGGTAATAATGTCAACAGTCTAATTACATGTGGTATGAAAGTATGTTTTCATTTGATGCATAGAAGGACTTCAGTAAGAACAGTGCTGCTGGAAAACTATGCATTTGCCTAAGTGGTGGAGTACAATTTATACTTACATTTTTTCTGGACATTTCCAAGGTAGCAGCTGCTCATCATGAGATATTTCTAGTCTGTGACGGCAGGCTTCAGCAGTCCCAGAGAAGTATGTGCTACCTGTGCTCTTGTTCAAGACTATCAGCCTACAAGGTCAACCCTCAAAAACATAGCTGAAGAGGAATTTTCCATCAGCATTACACTCTCCTCTTTTTAGCTAAAAGAATCGCTTGCCACATGACTACAGATGTTTCAAAACTTTTTGTGTAAAAATGGTTCTTTCCTCCATGACTCTCCACACACCAGCAACCTGTCTGGTTTGCTGATAAGGAATTTTGTCCTCTAGGATCTTCTTATTTCAATAACATATAAGCATGAAAAGCTCCCAAGCTCCCATATTTACTGTGATGGCAGGGGATTTCAGAAACACATGAAATCTTTCAAAATGAAACGTCACTTGGACTTTTTCAGACCAAAGTTAAAATAATAACAATAATAATACAGCTAAGTTTCTTGTCTGCCATTTTGGTACAGCACATTATTTGACATCTCAGAATTTCCAAACAGGAACTGTGTCTTAGAATAACATTATTTAACACATGAAAGGCCCTTTCCAGCATCCTGATTTCAAGAAAAGAAAATTAATTGAGAGGGACTATTCAAAGAAGCAAGTATTTGTCAGCATAAGCAGATTTTATACACTCAGCTCTCTATGAAATTGGTTACACATTGTAAGATTCAGATGCATATATGAATTTTTATTACAGATGAGGTGTGCTATGCGCGCAAGTGACTTCAGGCCAGTTTTTTAACTGGTGAAACAAGGTCAGACACTGAAAGATATTTAGGCAGTAAAAGCTGCAGATAAATTTGTCACAAGACTTTCAAAAGGTATCTAGCATTCAATTAATTTGGCTTTAAATGTTAGAAGTTTCTGAAAAGGTTATTAGGTGCTTTTCTGCACCTTTAATGGCTAGAATTTATTTTAAAATCTAGCTCTTTAAACATTAATCCACTGCATACAAACAGAAGTCTGAGAAACAGATATAAAATATTTCCTTCCCAGAACACTAATGAGCAAATGTGAATATAATTAAGAACATTTATAAAAAAGGAATTTGATTCACACCTTGCTTGCCTCCAACTCTTTTTATATAATACATGATATAGCTGTCAACCTTTAAAATGCTGCAGGGCACTTACTTTAATATAAATGGCTATTTTCCTATAAAATCTCTATCCTATACAGAAAACATAGCAGCTACATTTGAAGACACTGCAGCTATTTATTATTTGTATTGATATAGTAAAAGATGCTCCTTGCTTGGAGCATAATTGCTGCAATTCTCAGGCATAACATCCCTCCCTAAAGGTTTTCCACCAGAACAGCTTAACAGCTAATTCCCACAAACATTCAGGCAGCAAAACTGCCTTCAGTAAACCTTGTGTTCCTACAAGGAAAATATAGATTTTGTAATGTGTCTAGAAGTTAAATGAATTCAGGGACTGAATCTGTGATCATGGGATGTGCTTGGAGTAGATCCCCTTGGCTGCTACTCATTATCTGTAGTAAAAAAGGATGATTTTGTTTATCTCTGCTGATGTAAATTATCATACTGGATGGATGCGAGGAGAGAGGATGCTTCCCTGGTAACAGTATTTCAAACTTCTTGCGGCTTGGACAGTTTAAACCAAAACTTCTATCTGGCACCTCCTTGATAAGCAATTGAGCTCCAGAGGCATTGGTGTGGAGATGCTATAAGGTCATTTACTTCATTTGATCATTAATCTATCAACTGGGACTGCGTGTTTCTTAGACACAAGAATATTACTGGGGTGATTTGAGTGTAGTGATAGGACAAACAGTAGTGGTTTTAAGCTGAAAGAGGGCAGATTTAGATTAGATATTAGAAAGAAATTTTTCACTATGAGGGTGGTGAGGCAGTGGCCCAGGTTGCCCAGAGAAGCTGTGGATGCCCCATCCCTGGAGGTGTTCAAGGCCAGGCTGGATGAGGCTTTGAGCAACCTGGGCTAGTGGAAGATGTCCCTGCTCATGGCGGGGGGGGGGACTAGATTATTTTTAAGGTCCCTTCCAACCGAGACCGTTCTATGACTAGGCAATATTACAGCAGAATTTTAAGGGAAAGCAAAAATTTAACTCTTCAAAGCAATCTGGGTGAAACACTGCCATGGTATTCTTCCAAAGTCCTTCTCATCTCTTTCACTATCAATACCTCTACGAAAGGCAAACAGTTCAGGCTGTTAGCCTGGATTTTGGGAGAGCTTTTCCACAGACTTTCTGTGTCACCTCAAGGAGCTCAGTCTCTCAGAGTTTCAGATTGCCAGCTGTTAACTGTGAATTACAGTAATGTACTTCCTCATAAGAGTGTTGTGAGGGTCACCCATTACAGACTGTGCAGTGTTCAGAAACCATGGTCACAGCATTCAAAAATGCCTATGACGCAACAGCCATAAGGCAATGTGAATAAATTGTGTCACAAAATTAAGCTTCTGGAAAGTCAGTACTGCCGTGCAAGAAAGGACGCACAGTGGTGGTACACTAAACACCCAAGTTTAGAGTACAAAAAGAACAAACAATAAAAAGCCATTCTCAAAGGTGACTTAATTCACTGAAGGTTAACTGCTTTTTCACTTATGATTCTTAAGAAGTTCCTAACTGTACTTCAGAAAAAAGAAAAAGAAAGACACAAATTGAAGTTATATGACCACACAACACATGCAGACTGAGAATAGGTCCTTTTCTAGTATTGTACTACATAAGTCATGTCACACGTCCATCTTTCAGATACAGGGTTTATGCACCTGTTTAAATGAAAACCACCATAAAGAGTATCAGTGGAGGAGAGCAAAGGGTTCTTCAGGAATACCTCGTCATGAACCGTCACGCAGGAGAACGGCGCAAACAAAATTATCTTGGGAAGGGTTCACTTCTGCTGTTAAGTGTGTTTGGTGGTTGAAGGAGTCCTTGATCCACTGTCTCTGCTTCCCTCTCCACAACAAAAAGGTTGTGTGCATGCTAGAAAGGGCTGTGTGATTATTTGAGTTGCTTTTGTTTGTCTCTTTGGCCCCACATAATAATTGGTTCAACCTAAAACAAAAATTTTGCTTCCACTGAGTATTTACTGGGAAAAAAAGAGATTGTGTCTTCGTGTCTATCTCACTCTGCAGCCTGCAGATTCACAGGCTTATACAGTAAAAAGATGGCTATGAGTTTCAGTCCCTGATCCAATAAACATTTATGTACAACAGTCCATAGCAGTGTCAACACGAGAGATTTTGATCAACTCACATTCCGGGCTAAAAAATACTCTTGGAATCTGATTAATATGGGTTTAAATCCTCTTAAGTAGAAGAACAAAATCTCCCAAATCCCAGCTGAATACTTTAAACGTCAGCCTGAAGGCTGAATGGTATGTCTTCCATTATCATTTTGTGAATGTGTGTAAGTTTTTTCCATTTGAAACTAGACATTATTGGCTTCAGATTGTTTTTTTGGGGAAAAAAAATTTAAAAAAATAAAACCAAGGAAGATAAAATTTCTATCCATTGCTAAGTTAAGGTGTAGTTTCTTTGAGAGGAAGGACTGCAGATATTATTACAGGCCCCTCTCCAACCCATATAAAAGTGTGTGTATGCATATTTGTTTCTTGCACACGTTCTCATCTGTGCTTTGGCATCACAATTTTTCCCACAAGATTTTAAGATTATTTTTCAATTACAGCCTTAGCAGTAGATTGCAGTAACGGGGGAATAAAGAATTCAGGTCCTCATCCCTACAGCTTGTATGTTTTGACATATGCATAAGTGAATTAATTTTCGGAAGCATTGATCCTGCACAGCTCTAATTGCCTTCAGCACTTAAAAAAAAATTAGTATCCACAACACATTAAAAACCTGTGGGCAAAAATATTGATTTTGCCTCACATTAAACTTCCAGACTATCAGAAAATAATAGTAAGTGTATGGTAGATAATTTAGGAAGTCTGAAGGCTTTTCAACAGAATATTTGATCTGAGGAATAAAATAATGAACAATTAAAATACATACATGAATTTTCAGAAGAATTAGTAACCCTAATAGTTCTGGGGCTTTTGTCTGTGAAGTAATGAGAGATGCATAAATACAACCTACCAGCAGGAAGACGCTACATTAATGAGACTTAAAATCCCATGATTAGTTAAAAAAATTGTTATGTGTCAATTGAATAAATTTCATTAACAAAATAGGAAGGTAAAGGAAAAATGAAGATTTTCCATCTGCTGAACTGAATCATGATATTTAAAATTGTCTGCTATGCTACAAAGTAGTGACCAATATATTGAATTTAAACATTAGAAAGTGGTATGCTACCAGAGGACAGTAGTTTATAATAACAAGCATTGCAAATTTCTATATCCTTCTTACAGTTGATACACTTTTAAGGCAAATCACTGTGGTATGGCTGACAAATAACAGGTTGCAGCCACTTACCTGTGTCTCTGCGTTTGCCTTCTGGTGGTAAAACCAAATGACAGCACTCAAGAATAACTTTAGGCCTAACAGACTTGAACAGAACCTTTTCATTTAATGCCAAGTCTTAGGTTTAAACTTGTCAAAAGTAATCTGTCAGTCTTCTCAGACTTTGGAAAGTGGGGATTAACTATATAATATCTCCCCCTCTGCTGCCTTCAAGTACTATCTCTTGTTTTGTTTCAAATTTTGGTTATCCAAGTGATTTTTAATGAAGTGCTCAAAAAACTTGATAAAAAATAATATAATTAATCTTTTCTTATCTATTTATTTTATTTTCCATACTTCAGATGTACAACATTGGTTGTATATATAAGTAAACATAACATACCAAAATCCACAAGCTTGACTCCTCCTTCAGTGGTCAAAAGGATATTATTTCCCTTAATATCACGGTGGATAGTTTTGTTTTCATGCAAATGCTGAAGTCCCTGGAAGGTGAGAAGTAAACACGAACTTTTTACTTACAGCTCTGTTCTCTGTATTACATTTGCAGGAAAAAAGAAAAAAGGTAGCAGAAAAGTATGAAAAAAACTTAAAATACTTTTTTGTTTTAACCCAAAACCAGAGATGTCATACTTACTGGAAAAACACTTGGCACACTATGAGGAGTAGATATTTTTTAATCGCCCCACTTTATGTCAAACAGAAATTTTAAGATAAAAGTAGAAAAAAAGCACTACAAATCTACACGATAACTTTAGAGCATAATCTCAAAGAAAACTGCTAAGGCCTACATTCCACTGCAGAAAGTCAAATTCTGGTTAAACAAAATTAAGAATAAAGGCACTTGATCCTGATTAGCCAAAAAACAAATATTTCTTGTAGCAGTGTTTGAATTCACTAGATCTGCTGATCATTTTGCTATAAAAAAATGTTTTGGATCCAGACATAAGGAGTTGAACAGTATTTTGGGTGTATTTCTGCTATTTCTCAAAAAAAAAGAGTGATTTTAATGCAGAACTGTATTTACTAAGGAAAGGAATGAATGGTCAGAAATCAATTTTCATTCTCTTAATAATGAAACCAACAGATGAATTGTTCTTTACCTTGCTTGTTCAAAAAGAACTGTCTGAATTACACATTACCTTGATTTCATTAAAGACTGCTATAAGATAGCGTGCCATGACAGTGGGGACATGATCTTCATTCATTCAAAGAAAAAAAATATGAGCTGAACATTGACTGTCCTTTCACTGAGAGCTTATCTTACCATTAGAGCTTCGTGTAAAATGTAAGCAATTATAAGTTCATTCATCCTTTCGCCTCTCTTCAGAAATCCTTTCACAAGATCAGTCACAGATCCACCATTGCACAGCTGCAAAACATCAGGGGAATATAAAAAGGAATTAAGAAGTGTTGGAGTAGCCACCTGGTTTTAGTTTTCAGTAGTTTTAGTATTTGTAGCCAAACGAGCTCCCATTAAACTGTCAAACCACAAATTTGTCCTTTTGTCTACCATTTATGTAAACAACATACAGAGCAACTTTTGCCATTTTTTTTCCACTACATTCTGCATTTAATTCTTCTTGCCCAAACACAAGTACAGCAGTCTATCCCTTTGCTTTCCTATGCACATGATTGCTTTTCACTGAAATAAAAGTACCTTATAGTGCAATAAATTTGCTGTGAAAGCATGTTCTGTAGGGCACGCTAATTGCTGCTTATATTCATCAAATGCATCAGCAATGCAGATTACTACAGCACCAATTCTCAGGTACAAAAGCTATACACAACATAAAATAGATTTAAGGAATCAGAAGATAGGCGGTAGAGAAACTCCCCCAAGAAAATCTTCCAAGGGGAAAGATGCCCTCTTTGCCAGCAGCAATTAATTCCTAGTGTAGAAGGATCTTACACACAAGGGATGGGCTTCATGGAAGATGATGAAAGCACTGTGGAAAGAAAGGTCTCACCTACCACTGATACAAGGTGGGCCATAGGCATAAGACTAATTATAGCCCTTGCAGCATCAAACCTGTCAGCTTCCTGTTCGAGACACAGAGTCACAATCTACTCTGGACAAGCCTTTCTCCATCTAAGTCCAGGTAGACTCCTGCAAACCCCTGCCCTGTCCCATATGCATGGGAAGCAGAGGTTTGACCTTGTTCTCTAAAAAGATCAGCAAACACACAGTATCAGCAGATTAGTTTAGACCTGCAATATTTTGTACGTTCATTTTTATCACTTAGAATTTTTCCACAGAAGAAGCAGCAATGTAACTGTAGTGACAACCTCTGTAGCAGTTACATACCTGCAAAGATTAAATCAGTACTTAAGCCCCTGGACTATCTGTAAGGCTCCTAACAGCACTCATTGATTGAAGAGCCATTGCCTGTAAGGGAGTAGCTGCTTCCCTTAAAACAGTGAAACAAATTGTAAGTTTTATACTGTATCATCCAGTAGCTTTTCGTATGAAAATATATCCCATGTAAGACATTTTACCAATGTAGCACAAAACAGTAATTCTTCTTGACTACAAATTTTGAAGTCTATTAAAATCAAGGGCATAATTTATCAATGAAACTTTTCAGCTGCAGAACTCCAGACATCAAATACTTTCGTATGTGATTTTTAAAATATTTTTTCTATAGCTCTACATTTTTAATGTCCAATTACAAAAAGACTTGCACCTTACAGTATAAAACACTACATAGCCTTTTGTGCCCAAACATAACAATATTTTTCTGACTACCTTTGGAACCCCTGGGCTGCACTGAACTTGCACCACAGGAACGCCTACACAAACACCATTCAATACATAAATCTTGTTGCAAGATGTGTCCCCCATCATGTCTATGAAGGCTCTGGTCTGACAGATGTTGAGCTCTACAGCAACAATCTTGGAACTCACTCAGTCTCACCCTTACTTCAGTGGGACAATATTCATGCTTAGAGATGGAAGAACTCACATGCTTAAATGATGAGATTCAGCACTTTGCCGGATCAGGGTCAGATTCCCAAGCAGGATTTAATATACTGTCTTGAGCTATGCTCGTCTGCCTTCTCCACTGACTTTTTCCAGTTACATTTTTGTTTTTTTTCCACAATGACATTATCTTTCCAGGGTCTCTATTGTTTTAATGTTGCCACATCACTGACATGTTTAATCAAACTGAATGGATGATGACAATTCGGGTTAATTTAATGCACTTGCATTTCAGGGCACTGAAACTGTCTGACAAGTGACAAACCAATTGTGAAATAAATTACACATATTATATTCATGATATTCTTAAAACTATTTTTCTTCATTATCTAGTATTAAAATTTTGCTTTTTACAGATGGATCTTCTGTTTTTGTTACAGAGCTGGATATCTGTTAGTCCTTCTGTCCAGATACTAGAACTGTGATTATTTTACACCAAAGCTTTAAAAGTTCAGCTGACCATGTCTTGAATTAAAAACCAGAAGTCACCCACGCCACCATGGAAATCATTGACCAACTCCCAAGGCAGGGCGGCTACTTAGGCAGAGGTCAGCTGAGGATCTCGTAGACACAGGTTCTTGCATGCACAGGGCAACTTTTCTTTTGCTACTTCTGTCTCAAAGAGTTGTACTTTTACTTCTGTCAGAAAATACATATATTTCTGAGACCACCAGCATAGGAGGAAGAGGGCAAAAAAGGCTAGGTATGAGAATGTAAGCAGCTATAAGGAGGAAAAGGGATTATGGGAATACAACTACAATTAGAAAAGGAGATTATGGCAGACACTGTATGTGTATACTCTGAGCTGTGTGGGGCAGGAGGGGGGAAACCATGACGACAATGATGACACAGGTTAGTATTAACCTTGTTCTATTTTTCTACAGGTCAAACAAGTCTTCATGAGTAAAATGTTGAATCTGGTCTCATTTCCTATTTCTACTGCCTGTTTTTTGCAGGTGAAGCTGCCACAGGTCCCTGTAACCATGCACATAACTAAAATTCAAATGGTGATTTTTTTCTCCTCAGGCTATCAAATTGCATGCGTGTTCAATGCCAGCTTATCATACATACATCAAAAAGTCCCTCTTGTAATGAGTCAGGCTTTTCCCTTGCCTCTCAAAAGAGGAAGCTACAGAAAAGTACAATACTCCTGCCCAATGCAGTGCTGGACCATGCTTGCTTGGGAATCTGAGTAGACAGGGAGATAAATTATCCTTGTTGACCAGGATCAAGTTCATGACATAAAAACTTAAAGGGGAAAAAAGCCCTAAAGCATAAAAAACCAAATCAAAACAGAAATAATTTCCTTAACTCATACAGTCCTTCAATGAGAGATTATGGGATAAACATTATTTAGCAGTACCACTGGACTGGAAGTTTCCTGGGGTGTTGGTAAATATTGCAGCTTATAATTATGATCTCTGCTGTTTCTTAGTGTGCTGTTCACAGTAAAACCTGGATAGACTCTTACCAAAGTTACTGGGTTTGAGTTAAGCTAACTGTAATGCTTGGATGACAAGAAGTCAGAACGGCAACAGACATTTTTTTTAAAGCATCTATTTTCTAGTGAAGCATCTAGAGAAGAGCGCTGTCGGTAGCTCTTATTTCATTTCAAGCATTGTGAACTCACATGGCCAAATAGCTAATCAGTCTGTGTCATGACTCCACATAATTTGGTAAAATCTCCTCAGAATACCTTGATGAAGGACATTACAAGCAGAAAACAAGAAACACATGGAGAGCTCAGGATACAGACATACTGTAGAACCTACGTGCCCATCTGAGCTGTGCCACAGGGCTGCTTTCTACCCTAAAGGTCAAAGTAACCCACCAAACACAAATCTCCTTCAACCTGTCATGAGACATGGGATCTTCTGGGAGGAGAGAATAATAATTCTATTTCTCTCTCTCATGCTCCCAAAACCACACACACATACACACACACACATATTCTCTCTTGCATTCACAGACACATTTCTTGCAGTTTGTATCCACTTTATAATACTTATTTTAAGCAACTAGTAATCCCAGGAGGAAAACTGGGTATGGGAGAAGCGGTGATGGCATCTGTTACCTCAGGTTTGGCAGTGCAAGTAGTAGAAGATGTAAACTGAACGGACATTCTCAGTTTGGTTCTCAGATACCACACAGTCTGGTATGTGAAATGTATGCAAAACCAAAGCCCTTCAGACTGAAACTGTTTCTAGGAAGTCTCCAAAGGCTGCCTTTCCCAAGGAAGGATAGAAACTCTCTTTTAAGCTTTGAATAAACTTAAAGAGAGAAACTCTTATAAATGTCCAGCCTATGAGACACGCTAAGGGAACATATTGGTGATTCTCCCACAAGGATGTTATTTAGAAATGTTATCTTGGCAACTTTATACATGAACAATTTTTGTCGATTTAATGTTAGTCACTTCTTCTATTGTTCCCTTGTGATTTACAGATATTTTCTTTACCAGTAGTATTTTCAGTGCCTGCACTGATAGAATGCAAATATTACTTCCAAACACAAGCAACTAAAAGGGGGGCAAACTGAACCCCGTGAGCTACCTAAAACGGGGTGGAGAAGACAGAGGCACATGCTTCCCAGAGGAACACAGCAAAGGATGAGAGGCAACAGTGCCCAACTGCAAGATCGTAGGTTCCTACTGAATACAAATTAAAAATTTTCCCAGCGAGAGTACTTAAGCACTGGCACAGATTACTCAGCAAGTCTCTGTTATCTCCAGCCTTGGAGATGTTCAAAACTTGAATGGAGAAGACCCTGTGCAAACCCGTACACATTGAAGTTAATCATCTTTGAGCTGGGGGCTGGACCCAATAACCTCCAAGTTCCCTTCCAACTTGTAATTTTTTATGATTCATAATATTTGTATTTCAAAATATTCAGTCCCAAGTTTGGATATTTAGACAGTGGAAACAGGGAGAAAGGACTAAGGAAATCTTGCATACTAAGACCAAGGGGAAGAATAATTTGACAGAAGGCTGGATCCATGTGAAAACCTGCCTGAAAGGGCTGTAGCTCTGATGGCCCTATGCAGCTGTATCAGAAGAGGTGCTTATGACTCTTCTACAGTGGTAGCAAAGGGCTCCTCCCTTATGATTTTCTGGCACTCAAAATGCAAAGACTCATAGTAGGATGACATACAGTCCTCCACCCACCCATCTGCCACAACCCTGTGCTACTGTAATTGAGTTATTAGTATGCAAAGCTATCTTCAGCAATGGATTTATAAAATAGCATGATCACAACACATGAAATGTCAGTTAAAATTGCCATCACATCACAGTCATGCAGATGTTCTTTTTAGGTCTTACTCACTCTTCATCTGACCCAGCTGATACATTTCCCTCTGTTCAGCTCTTCTTGATTCTGATGGCCACTGA